AAAAAAAAAAAAAAATGCAAAGTCCTACACCATTACACAAAACCATTGAAACTGAAGCTGGGAAAAATGAAGAGACGACCAGCTCCTGAAGTAACAGGTTGACAGTAGAAGTGCTTAACTTGTAAAGCCATGAACTTAGAAAGAGAAACCATATACAATAATATTTATATTTTTAAATATAACAAAGTAAACTTTCTCCTCGTCTCAAATTTGCACAACTTCCTTCCACAGAAGACATCTGCTTCGTCCTCATCTAATTTCCTTAGCCTTGTGCCTTTTCTCGGTAAGCCAAAACCTGAATAAAGAAATCAACAAAATTTTTACTTCATTTCCCATGAACGATTAAGAACCTTGTATACAGAAGTGAATGGACAGCTGTCCAAACAAAACAAAGAACGATGCGGGACACGAGTGGATAGACCAACCACATCTGACTTTGGATACATCTTAGCAAGGTAAGAGGGACTAAATAGTTAATAGTGTAGTCAGAAACAAAAAGGAGGGGTATTTTCACTCCGGGTGTTCGTCCGTATGGCTGTTAGATAAAACGACCCTGCTAAAAGATGACGTATCAAATTCTAGTGTTGAGTCCAATTTTACAAATTTGGCCTCTTTCCGAAGCTATTGGTATTTTCACTCGTCGTGTGTGCAATTTATTCGTAACAGTGGACTTCAATGCATGCGCACAAAAAAACTGAAACGCACAACACTGTATAATCATGCACGAAAAAATGAAATAAAGTAAAAAAAAAAAGATCCACAGATAGCGAAGTATTACCAAGTTTTGCTGAGTAAAATTGGCATGAATTTCCCCCAACGTTTGGTCTTCGTTCAACAGCTGCATCTCATTGAGACAGGGGTCCACAATTCCAAGTTCACCTTTGAAACTAGAGGTGATGTTCACAGGAGGAATATCTTTTACAATCAATATTTCGATTCGATCAGCTTCGGTCGATGTCTGCATAGCAACATACTGCCAGAACGTGGATTTATAACCATTCAGAATCTGTACCTTATTCAAATATGCATAGCAGCCAATTCAAAGAATTACAAAAACTTCTATGGAAACGTAACCTGGCTTAGGTGTCTAACTGATGACTTCTGGCTGCAGCAGAGATAAGGCCGCTTCAGGCAGGGTATATTCCCATCAATCAGCGAAACAAGCTGGAGATTAATTTTCAACTGAAACAGAAATAATCTAACTCAAGTTCAGTAGAAAGGGTGTGCGGTAACTGGTGAAGAATCACTCATGAGATAATCCATGATTTCAATAGTTCAGCCAGCATGAAGAAATTGTAGTACTGCTAAGCCCTCATCCATAGTCAGTCACCAATTTAACCATAAGCTCGAAATTTCCAAATCAAAAGCAAAAGATTTAGTAATTACCACCTCATCATTATCAGTCGCACTTTTGAGATGCTCTCTCAGCTTCGTGAGTCTGCTATTCCTCGACAGTTTGCCATTGACCCAACCATTCCCACCGTGCCTTGTGTTACTCCGCAAACCGCCTCTTCCCCAGGCAAGAATCTCAGTGCCCCCTATAAGCCCGACCGAGGTACCTTGCAGTTCTCTGTTGGCTTCCGGGTCATTATCTTCATCTGCATTGGCCCCCGACGACTGCTCTGAGGACCGACCTCCTCCCCATCTTTTGTGCCTCTTTGATTTTACTTCAGGTGAGCACTCCTCGGCGGAAGAGGAGTCTTTGCTGCCATTAGTTCCTTCGTCTTCATCAGAGTCAGGGTATTCAGAAGCCCGATGAGTTCGCCTTCCTCTCAAGTTCCGGTAAGTGCTCTGTCGTCTAGAAAACGCAGCAGCTGACACTCTACCTGTTCGTTTCTTTCCCAGTGCTTCTGCTTGCCGACGAAATGTCTGTGAAATTGAATCTTGGATCTGGTACAACAGAAACTTGTGTCAAGAAGGTGTTGGGTTTACAATTTTTAAGATCTCAGTTTGAGGGTTTTGCTTTCAGGTTATTTTAATTTTTTGGGGGTATATTTTTTAGTTTAATTCATAGAAAGATCTATTAGCCAAGCACTTATGGAGGGAACTCGAACTTTTTGGGTTGAACTACTTCTTGGAGGGATTTGGTTATTTCAGTTTACTTTAATTTTTTTTTTAATGATTTAGTTTTAGGGGTCCGGATTATGGGTCAAGATCTGGGTGCTTCGAACAGAAAAGTTAAGTTCAATTAAGCTTATGACATTTTTGTTGCAGGGACTCTAGCATAGAGATGGCCTTTCATGAGTCGATGCATAGTATGTCCTGTAACTGCTGAAAAATTAAAGAGAAGCCTATTGTGATAACTTGGAAAATAAGAAACAAGGTTCTTTTCTTTGCGGCCATAGATACTTCAGGCACAAAAATGCATGCATGACTCATGAGCAGCAGAGTTTGGACCAAAACTGAGAAACCTACCTGCTTATTGCGAGCCTTCTCTTCTTCATGGAAAGCCAATTCCTAAAACAATGATAGCAACACAGTTCATAATGAAGATTAAAGCAGAATAGATCTCGTATTGACTCAAAGAACAGGTAAATTAGGTTGCTACCTCCTCCTCGTATTTATCAATATCAGGATACAAAGCAGCAATGAGGGCATCATAATTTGGATCATCCCTTAAAGAGCGTCGACTAGCACAATGTGTGCGGCATGCTGGACATTCATTGTTCCTGAATTCAAAATCAATAGAAAATCAGAAGGCAGCAAACCTTTCAGTAGCTAGTTTAGATTAAACGACCAAGAAAATTACAAAAACAAAAAACAAAGAAAGAAAGGAAGGAAGAAGAAGAATAAGTACCCTAGGCGCATGGATTTGTCAATGCACTCTCTGCAGAATCGGTGTAAGCATTCCATGACAGTCCTTGTCTTTCTAATTATACCTATACATAATATATTTACCAAGAAGCAAAGAGGCTCGAGTAAGGGAAAAGAAAAGCAAAGATAAGTTCTTACAATAGTAATCCAATTTGTTCATTTCCAGCCACATTAGTACGGAAAGCAAAGTATAGTGGTCAATTATGAGATATGACTTCAGTGTCATGACTTGTTTTTTAAATTGAATCCGGACAAAATATAAGTTTGAGAATTGTACCTAAACATATTGGGCACTGAACTTCCTTCCGTATTTCTCCCAAATTCACAACAATAAATCTGGAAGTCAACAACAACATCTCTTTAGAGTAATTCATATCAAATGTCAGGTACAAACAATGCCAACATGTGGAATCGAGAAGAAATTACTTGTTTCATATAACTTCTGATACTTAGCTATCAATGTGTACAAGAAAAAAGGAAAAGAGAAACCTAAAACAATTAATAGCTTATAATTGTGAAAACAAGATCATTTAACCAGAAAAGGAAATAGGGTAGCTCATTCAATGGAAGCATATTAGTTAGTAGGATATTTAGAAAATAACAAAAATCTAGGGCATTGACTCGTAGGTTTTGGTTCAAGATGATAATGTATCTCCTAAAGTTAGATGCTTTTCTAAATTGTAATGCTAATTTATGCTCTTAATAAATATGGATTTGGCACATGTTTAATCTTAAAAGAAAATAGCATATCAAAGGCTACAAAGCGGATGTCTGCACAATTTGGTAACTACTAGACATGATAGACATAGTCCCCCAATTTTCCTCAGCCCAAACTATCTAATTATGCTCATAATCCTCATAATAAATTAAACATGTACTAAAATTATAATGTGTTTATTATCATATAATATGTAGCCAGGAGGCTGCTACACCATGCTGACTATACCACTCAACTACATCTATGGAAACTCCAGAGTGCCATTCCAGAAGAAGATGGATGCACAGCAATTTAGACTACTTTTGTAGCCCTTTGAAAATAGAAGCCCTGAAAGACTTCAGATTGCTCATCAAAGAAACAAACCTCAACTTTCTTTTCCCTTATAAGAAACCTCAGATATTTTTCCCTTCCAAAAGTTCCCCCACAAGTGTACCGGTAAAGATCCTTCTCCAACAGCCAGCAAGGAGCCAAAATGTGTAGCTATTTATTAATATGTTCAATCAGCATACAGGGTTTGCCAAAATAGTCACAAAAGATGCCATGTCATAACTATCAAAGCTACCACATGTAGAATGCAAAAGTGCCATAGTTACATGCAAAGGAATTATCTACTTCCTGGAAGGGTTCCAGATTCGTTATAACGACAGCAGAACAGTAGTATAAAGAACAGAGAACTCATGGCATGCATAACCATTCCTGAAAACCTTAACCCAGAAAAAGAAATGAAAATTCCAGATCACCTCCAAGTACATCACAAATCATTCAAAATACAATGCCCGAACTAAACAGGATAAATCAAAGCCATATGAAATTTCCACAATCAAAATTCACCAGCTTTTAACCAGGCCACAAAAAGATATACACCAGATTCCATCACCAGATCTAAAATTATTTTATGTACTCAGGAAATCAGCCAGAAATCCTCCCAACTGAACCTCAACTAAACAAATCGAACCGCAAAACCAAGCATGCAAATCTCGAGCTATAGAGGCTCATCCACCCATCAAGCAGCGGACTTGGAACACGCAGCACTAGCTTGCCGCCAGTGAATTATAAACACATATATTCATTCATTAATACGCGTGCCTGATCGCCCGTACGTGAGTGTGCGTATATGCAGAAAGTGCAAAAACAGAAAGAGATAAATGAACAAAATAGTACTCGTCTATTTCCTCATCGCTGGAGTCAGAGCTGTCCTCGGAATCTGAAAATCAAACACACGTAAAACAACCGTAAATCAACAAATTCAGATACCAATGGTGAACCGGAACTCGAATTCAGTTCGACCAGAACAAAGCATGCGCGTAAACGTGTATACTCACACAAGTACCTACCTTTCTCGTTGTCGCTCAGCTTCTGGTTGTGATTCTCGCTGCCTCGGAGCGAATCATCGGGTTTTTCTTCCTCCGGCGGTGGCGGAGGAGAAGGAGGCGGAGTGGCGGTTTCCAGCGGGCGATTCTGGGAGGGCATTGGGTTTGACTGGGCTGCGGAAAGGCTGCGGTGGCCGTGGTCCGTGGAGGCGGTGGTTGGGGTGGTGGTGAGACGGAGTCAGCGAAGAGAGGGAGGTACTCGAGTGTTCGGGTGCTCGAGGAAAATGCAATGTGTGTGTTTTGTAGTCTTTTGCGATCTGGGTTTGGTTACCTCCAGTCTCTCCCCTCCGGTTTTTTGCAATTTCAATTGTTTTACCCTATAGACGGTGAAAGGTGGGACCAGGACAATCACGATTTCTTCGCATGAAAATAGCACCTTGCATAATTTGGACATTTGGACATAGTATTTTAGGAAAATGCTACAGTGTCATTACGGAAACCATTCCATCGGGATTTGTAACCGTTAAATCATCATGTAACCGTCGTAGATAATTGGTCTAACGGTTATAAACCCCGGCAGAATTATTCCGTAACGGGACCGTAGAATCTTCCTGTATTCTAAGGGGTGTTTGTTAAAGGAATAAATTGAGTGAATTAACTTATAGTGAGTTTTTTTTTTTTTAACAGAGTTAATTTTTTTAAAAAATGATGTAGTTAGTTGTTGGTGAGATTTTGAATTTATATTAAAATAATATTTAAAATAAAATAATTAAAATTGATTCGATGTAAAAATATGAGAGAGATGATATGAAGTGATTGTTAGTTAATATTATGTGATTTGATGAATAGTGAAGTAATATTGATATGATTTTTTTCTTTTAATAAGGGGGATCAATACTGGTTCCCCAATTCCCCCCAGGTGACTCGAACTCGGGAAAAATGATTGATTGTTATTATATAATTATCTATGTCTATACAATAAGAATAATAATTTACTAAAAATAGTAGTCAAAAAATTTAAAAGCATTTAATGCATATCTTTTTTTAGAACTTTTTAAATATATGCTTCAATATATACAATTTTAAACAAGATTAAATTAGACATGATAAAAATATATTATTTCTTTAAATAATTTTATTAATACCTGCAATAATTTCATTGATACTCATTATAATAAATTACAAGATTGAGTTTCCTTGATTCATGTTGATATTGGTCAAGATAAATATTACAACATTTCTTAAGCTTTAACCATAAAATATTTTTTTTACATATATTCACTTTTTATTCAAAAATATTTATAGGAAATCGTACGGGTTAAGTAGAATATTTTCTTCCAATTAATCAAGTGAAATCAAGCTGGTGAATTAATCTTTGCCAATATAATTTTTTCTTAAGCTTTATTTTGTTACATATATAAAAAAAAATTAATTAATATAAATTTACCATTCAAGAAGTTGTGTTTTTGGCATTTGCTAAATCAAAATTGTTTAATTAGTATACAAAATTAAATTCTAAAAAACACGTGTGTATATTTTGTAAACTATATTAATACAAGTCTCGCACCACGACCGGCTGGAAACCGCCTCAAGCTCGTTCTCCTCGCCGGTTAAACGCGGAACCTGCACGAAACTCCCACACCGGAGGTGTTTTCCGGTGAAGAGCCTCCAACGCTCAAGTCAGATCTTGAGAGAGAAAGTATATGAGTAAAAATGTGAGAGTATCAGAAAAATTTTATCGTAAAAGTGAGGATTCTTGTCCCTATTTATAGGGACGAGCTACCTGTTCTACATGCGCGGGTAGGGCGAGTTCGGCCAACCGTCCTCTTCTCGTCCGTACAACCGCGCGCCTCCACTATCCTTGACGTCAGGGAACGCGTCCAATTTGTCAGGGAATGTCAGAGTTCGTTATAGCCATGGGCCACTCATGGAGTGCCGCGTGTCCTGCCTTCACGTGCTGGAGATTCTCTTGTGCATTCTGCTGCTCGACCAAATCTGTGCGATCGCGACCTATCTGACCATCTTCCATCGACCAACTCCTCGAGTAACTGGTGTCTGTCGACCACTTCTGAACCCACTCGTCTCTGTTGTTTGCTCTCTGTCCTTCATTGCAGGTGTCTGGTCCGGTTCGACCATATCATTTGACCCGTCTTATTTAGCTAACCCGATGAACCGGTCTATTTTCTCCGGTTAGCCCAACAAACCGGTCTGGTATATAATATCCCATATCATCTAGTCCCTCCACTCTGGTCGAGTCTAAATGACTCGATCTAAGAGTAGACTTTGGTCTATGTCGAGGAGATTCTGTTTCTTTGTTTTCGACCACCTAGCACATTTCCTTCCTTTGCGCGTTCACTTTCCTTTCTAACCGCCATTCTACGCTTTTTGAATTTCAAATTTTGCCACTTGTCCGCCCTTTTGGGATGCGTCTTTTCGTCTGCTCAGGAGTTATGATAGCCTCGTGACCCGTGTTACCTCGAATCTCGCTCCCACTCCTGCGCACCTCTTTTTTCCTGCTGTTGGATCTCCTACTTTAATCATACGGCTCGAGACTACGCGTATGTTCGCTTGTCCCCCGATCGCTGCCCTTCATTACTTATGATCCTACGGTCGGCGATTTCTCCCATTCACTTTTTGCCCTTATAAATATCCACACTTAGGGAAATTTTTCCCTTCTTCACTATCGCATCCTGTCGCACTAGAGCTTCCTGCAATTGTCGAGCGTCCTGCAACCTTGAAGTCTCTGTTCTATCTGCAAGCTCTCCATCGTTCGCCATGAGTAAGTCTTCTTATCTTTCAATTTATGTTTGTTAACTTTTAGTTTTCGGGTTCTTCCTCTTTTCCCTCGAACTTCTTCTCGATTCTGGCCCCGTCCATTGTTTGTCCTTCCCGCTGTGCTCTCCTACGTTCTTTCCCACCTTGTTCTTTGTTTTTGCTCTTTCCTTTAATTAATTATAATTTTCCTTTCTTTTATCTCAGATTCTTCTACTTCGAGTGAAAATGATCGATACAGCGGGAAGGACCTGACTCCCCCTTCTTCTTATGCGACTCTTAGCCTATCGAGCGATTCTATACAAGAAATTCTTCAGCCTGAGCCCATTTCCATCCTTCCCCCCTGCGACGATCAGCGATAACCCTACAGCCACTGTTATCTCTCCCTCCACCTATCTCGTCGACCAACTCGAAGATGAAGTTACTAGCCGCCCTCCTTCTCCTCCCGCCGGACGTGCTCGTCGAGCTATCGACCAAGATGACGAGATCGAAGACGAGGATGATCCTCAGGACCACATCCTGTTGTCTGCTCGTGATCCCACAGACTTTGTTCCTTTGTCCTCTCGTGCCCCGGCCTCTTCGACCATACCTTATTGCTCCCATCAACCCAAGTCATCCAAGCGGTCCAAGTCATCTAAACCGTCTTCGAGCGTTACCCGTCTCGACTTTGATTTGATTGGTCATCCCGGGACTGCTCGCACCCCTGGTGATGATGATACCTACGATAACCCTCCTGAGGGCTATTATACCTTCTTCCGCCTTCGCTTCGCTATCTGCCAGGCATTAATCGACATGTGCGGTTTATATGGTCTGCCTCTCAACCAAATCACTCCAAACGCCTTCAGGACTTTAGCATCATTTATTGTTTTGTCCATGGTCCACATGGGTAGAGTAGATTTAGATTTCTTTGTTTTTGCTATTTTGCTTCGAAACAATCAGACGGCCTCTATTTAGAAAGCCGTAATAAAGATTGTTTCATTACTGATCGACCATCTAATGTCCCAAGATGGAAAGATCAGTTTGTATATATACGTCCCACGCAGCCTTACCCTTGGGCGCCCACCCCCTGGTTCACGGATGTGCCCCTTAAACCTGCTCGTCCTTCTCCCAACCCAATCTTCGACCGCCGCATACAACTGTGGAACTCGAATCCCGTCGCCTCCACTCCTTTACTCGAAGATGATAACCTCCTCCACTATTGTGGAATTTTGACCCATAAAAAATTTTCTCCTCCTCTCGCCGAGACCATTCTCCAAATTCGCGTCGATCCTAAACTTGCCGAAGTTAATAAGACAGCTCGAGAAGGTGCTCGAGTCATCACTATTATATGCTTTGTATTTATTACGTTTTATGTCATCAATGAACTTTTGACTAACTCCGTTATTCATGCAGAGGGATTTTTGCATAAGCCAGACCTCAAGAAGTCCAGCGACAGGAGGTCCGCTCATAGGGACACCCCAGCCAATGTCGAGAAGGCCAAGGGGCAATCCTCGACCAAAGACGTGGCCTCTCGACCGGAGAAATCCAACGTTGGCGCTTCCTCTCACTCGAGCAAACAACGGGCTCCTCCTTCTCCGCCAAGGCAAGTCATCCTAGTCATTCGACCAGGGAGGGCGATGCGTCCAAGAAACGCCCTCGGTCCGAGGTGACTAGTCCGCACTCCGCCAATCCTCCGCCCTCCCCCAAGCGGCCACAACTTGAGGCGGCTTCTACAGGGAATCCCCTTGCCTTACACGCTCCTTCTCTCTATCTGGTGTCAGTCGGACCACGGGAGGCTGTGTCTCGGCTGATGAGCTTCCTACCATTCGACGATACGCACCGCTGGGGGGTGAATCGTCGAAATCAAACCGAATATGGCATTCGCGCAATGACACAGGTATATTTTCTTTCTAGCATTAATTTTGAGTATCCTACTTTGCATCCTTCTCATTGTTCTTCTTACTACAGACTCTGGTCTCCATCGTGCCTCTCCTCGAGGAGGCGATGAATGGTACTGGTCACCCAATTCCTGTGCTTGAGGGCGACAACAGGCGCCTCGAGGAGAAAAATAGGAGGTTGAAGGCCGAGAACGAGGACCTGCTCAAAACACGCCACGCCTTGGCTGAGCAGCTGAAGAAAGATGAGCAGCGCTACAAGGATGCGTTGAAGGGTAAGGATAAAGCCCTTGAAGTGGAGAGGGCCAGTCGGAAGTAAAAAGTCGAGGCCGCTGCTATCACTGCGATCGAGCAGTCCTACAGACGACGCCAATAATACAAGTCTCGCACCTCGACCGGCTGGAAACTGCCTCAAGCTCGTTCTCCTCGCCGGTTGAACGCGGAACCTGCACGAAACTCCCACACCGGAGGTATTTTCCGGTGAAGAGCATCCAACGCTCAAGTCAGATCTTGA